TGATCTGTTGTTCACTTTACGCGGTTTTCACACTTTCCGGAATTTCGGATAAAGGGTTGTCAACCTGTATTGACAACACAACATACATACAGGTATATTGTTTCTCATCTCTTGATTTTTTTTTTCATTTTTGCATTTTTTTATGGTTCTTTATTATTATTATTATTATTATTACAGTAAAACCTCGATTAACCGACCACATATGGGGGGAAGGGGTCGACGGATAATCGAAAAGGTCGATTAATAGTACATAAAGTCTAAGGGAAATAAAACATACATTTTGAAAGTACCTTTCCCTAACCTACCTCATTTAAGTCCCTCTATTCATTTTTGTTCATTTGCCATTCATATTTCAATAGAATTTGCTTTAAAACATTAACCACTTTAGTAAATATATATGAACCAGCACAGAAACCGTGAATAAAAAATGGAAAAGTCAAAGAATATATGGTACCACAAAAATTGTGACCAAGTTCCAGGTTGCTGATCTGATTTTTTTTCTTTCTCATTTACACACAATTGCAGGGTCTCAATTGTTTCTCTTACTATTGACAACACAACATACATACAGGTACATTGTTTCTCACTCTTGATTTTTTTTTTCATTTTTGCATTTCTTTTGGTTCTTTATTACTAATATTATTATTAGCATTATCATTATTAATATTATTACATTATCGCCCCCCAGGCCCCGATGTGGGTCAGTGACATGTGCCCGGGTGGGCTAATCCCCCATAATTTTTTTTGGGGGGGGGGTCGGGATTGACGGTTAAACCGAAAATCGGTTAATCAAGGGTCGGTTAATCAAAGTTTTACTGTATTACATTTTCGCCCCCCAGGCCCCGATGTGGAACACTGACCTGTACCCGGGTGGGCTAATCCCCTTAAAAAAAAATAAATAAAAAATATTTTAGGGGTCCGGCGGTTAATCCCTAAGTCAGTTAATCGAGGGTCGACTGTATGTCTTTTTTATTTTTTGCAAATAATTTCGTCCCGCTTAACCCTTAGGCCCCGGGTGATGATCCAGAACGTCCGCCTATTCCTGCTACTGTTTTATTATTATTATTATTATTATTATTTTGGAAAAGTTGATTTTTTCTCGATCTATCACCCCGCAGAGGGGGGGGGGGGAGGAGGAGGAGGAGGTTACTGCCAGCAGCACCCTAACCCGGGGCTTAAGGGTTAAAAGGGGTCCGCCTTAGCGAGGTTTTACTATACACCTGTACTGTAATGTGGCTTAGAAATAAAGAAAATATAATATAAAGCTATAAAATATATACAGTATTTATTGCTGTCATAAAAAGTAAAATAAAGCTTAAAATAGAAATAGAAATAGAACTGTCATTTCTGCTACCAGAAATAAATTTTTATTTTCATGATGTTGTTGAAACTTAATTACCTGTACAGTCTCATTCAAGATTCTTCGAACACTGCTGGAAACAGCTGGTAACTCAAGGCCGTTTGTTTACTATAGTACGTAGTATAATATAATACGAAACGACAAAGCCCAACCAGTAATTAAGCAACAGGGAACTAAGTAACCAATCACCGATAACCTTTTACATTCGATCATAATTTTTACTACGTACTATAGTAAACAAACGGCCTTGAGTTGACAGCTGTCTCCAGCAATGTTCGAAGAATCTTGATCGAGACTGTACAGTATACGAAGTGCACAACATAACACATGCCAGTTAGCTGTGGCCTGCAAGATATGGTAATGCTTGATGCCTTTGTTACATATAATGAAACAATAAAAGTTGTGGAAAATAAATTAAATAGTTGTACTTGAATGTGGCTTTGTGGGAGGTGATCATAAGTGTGGAAGTAGTGGGTAGTTATTATTGCACTTCAACAGCTAAGGTCTTTAAGTGTATAACAAGGTTATTAAAAGAATATTACATCAACAATAAAAAAATATGAAACAGAACTCTCTGGGTTAAAATCAGACAAATAAGTCTGGTTGTTAACTGTTACCACCAAGATGATTGCTCTTTATTGTAAAGTGTTATATGTAAGTAACCACAGAATTTGTCTAATGAATCAAGATAAAACTATATACTGTACAGTACTATAAAGATAAAAATAAGAACAAATAAGTGTAGGAGTATATTGTATGTGGAAGACGAATGTTTATTTGGTAGCAGAGGGAAGGGGAACGGGGTAGCAGAGGTGGGTGGCTCCCAACGCCAAAGATTCCCACTTCTTTATGGATTTTCACTACAATTCTCATATAATTTAGGATCATTTGGTGAGCGAGGCCAGCAGTCATGTGTACAGCCAGGAGGGGAGGGAAGGCTACATCCGAGCTCAGGTGGTCAGCAGGGAGGTGATGAGTAGAAACAGAAGCAAGAAAGACATGTTCTCTGTGGTGTGCAGCAACACCGGGTCGTAGTAGTAAAACCGGTTTTTGTATTTGATGATTTTGTTTTCTAATGGAATATTAAATTTAATAAATGTGTCAAGATCATTCGTTTCACTATTCTGGATCATTTTCATCCTAATAAATTAACCTGATACATTTACTTTACTTTAAATAAGCTATTTAGTGGTGTTGGTAAAAGGGTGGGAATACTGAATTTTCATAAGATTTCAAGTTAAAATTTACCTAGCAAAAAATGAAAACTTTTCAAATCTGAAGATATCACATGATTCTGCACATAGAACAACATGATTAATACCATGGGCCGATTTTTCAAACTAAAAAAAAAAAAAAATTCCCCTCCGTATGACACACCCTAATAGTACAGTATAGTCTGCATTTACGCGGTCAATTGAACCCATGGAAGCCCGAGTAAAACGAGAAACGCATAAATGAAATAATAGAACATATGGGATTAATTGAAATAGAGACTGGGCCGACCCCAAAACTCCACTTTTTCCGACACAATACGTACCTTGTAGTCAAAATAACATCTTAATTTTATGATGGTATGCACACACAATTAATAATTAAGAGAAATATCAATAATATTAGGTTTTTTAACACTTACGTTAGTAGAAAAGATGGCTTGCAGGGCCTCTTTGTCAAACCCCTCAAGGTCCATATCATCACTATCACTGACTTGAGCCAGCTGTGGTGGGTGGCGGGTGAAGAACTCGGTAATGTTTTGATGACTGGGCGACCTAGTGCGCACCCTGCCCGCGCCGCTTCCCGCGTAAATGACCAAATTTACCGCGTAATTAAAGCATTTCATTCTGACAAGGCACCGCGTAAATGACAAAACGCGTAAACAAAAGTCGCGTAAATGCAGACTATACTGTAAAGAAATAAAGCGAGACGATTGGGAACGCCAACGTATGAACAGTAAGTGCACACATGTGAAAACATATCGTAATTTCTCTACATATGAATATGAAAGCAACACTTATTTACTGTTCATATATGCTTTAAATAATATTTACGAACGTAAAACAAAAATCCTACTCACCAATGGTGGTAGTCTAAAACATAAGGACAGCCAATGAATATTGTGCGAGTTTTTACTCAGATGACAAAGTTATCAGGTTCAACTCTGGCTGAAGCTGTAGCTTTCCATTAAGCTGTTGCTTAAACTGTTACTGAACCTGAAGTTGATGTTTAAGCTGCTTATGATGCTGAATTTGATGGTGTTGCTGAAGTTGATGGTTTAGGCCTTCGAATAATAAAGCTGTCGAAAGAACCTTGTGCACAGCTGCTTTCTTTTCTCATTATATATCTTTATGTAGAGGTCATTTGTGTTTATGTAAATTTTAATGCTTTGATCTGTTAATGGATCCACTTCAGAAAATATGTTCATTGATTGCTCCATATAATATCCACAGACCTCTCACATTTTTCATATCAGTTTCTCGGCTAAGCTTATACACTTTCTATTAGCTTTTGAAACAACACTACCATCACTTGCTCATATTGAATAGGGATGCAAAAATGCTGTAAGAAACCCGAGAAAGTTTTTCTCCTTTTCCTGTTCAGATGCGTGAAAACAAAGGGCCCGCCAGCTGCGATTGTTTATACTGGTGATGCTGGCGTCACCACTAACAAGTCCGGCAGCCTCCGTGCACAAGGCGTGTTTTTTTGTTTTTTTTAATATCAGGATTTAGTTATTATTTATATGAAAATGCAATACAGGGTATATGTTTTTTTTTTAATTTTGTCTTAAATACAAAGAAAATAATGGCATAAATTCAATTGGGTTCTAAATTACCGGGGTAACCAGGGTCTTAGGTATGAATCTTCGTTAGTTGAACCGTTGATATCGGAGGCTTTACTGTACTCAGCTTCAAAGGTAGAGATGTTTGGCTTGATTGGATTGATGGAGGTGGGTGTTGGGGGATGGAGGAAGAGGAGGAAATTTCAAATGCTTCAGCTAAAAAATCAGTAGATTTTTCCAGAGTTTTTGAGTGGTTAGCTAAAAATCCGTAGATTTTATCCAGAGTTTTCGAGTGGAATCCACTTAAATGCGGGGACTTTTTACACGGATGGTCACAAAAAATTAACCACTTAACTGCAAAACCGTGGATAGTGAATACTCCTATAACAGGGACCTCCTGTACATGTGGCAACTGAGGCTGAGAGAGGTGCAGGTGGAAGTACCTCCCAAGGCTCTCACACTCACTGCATCATTCATTTTTCCAAAGTCAAGAGTGCAAAGTTGAATGTGCACAAGTTAAATGTACGTAAGATATGACACGATTGTATAATGGTCATTGCCTGTACATATCGTATATTGTATGTGTACAGTGGTGTTTTCATAATTAATAACAGCTCTGTGTCTGGTCATGCAAAATATACAGATTAGATTCTTGGAAAACTTTCCACAGTACACCTACAGTACAGTACTGAGAAAAATTCCAGGGAATATATGATTTTTTCAGGGGATGAGAAAATTCATCTCCATACCCGGAAATCTCTCAAATCCAAAACTGCTCCGCACCAATTATTCCGGCTAATGAGAAGATTAATGTACTGGCCCATCATAGACATAACATAACAAACTCTTATACTGTACAGTACTTACTTGAGATCAGCATCTTTAGAGCTAAGGAATATCCATTTTTCATTACTGCGACTGTTTTGTTCAACAACAGTGTGGATGGCCTGACCTACCAAGCCCGTGCCTCCGGTAACAACCACAACCATCTCTTCAGCATCCGCCATGTTTCTCTGCTGAAACAATGAATAATGGTAATTATAATACAGTAATGTCTCCCTTAACCAGACATTCCTTAATTAGAAGTTTTCAATACCGTATGCAAATTAAGAACCATTTTTTCCAGTTGTTTTCGTGTTTACATTGACTAGGTCAAATCTGGTGTTGAATGAGCTTACACTTGGTGCCGTTACAACGCACTATGCGAGATTGTTCCAAGTGCAGGGATGGCCCGACCTGTGGGAGGGTGTCACCCCCCCGAATAATTGGTCTCGAGTTGGTCAAGTTGCCAGAAGTTGGTCACAATGGTCTCAAAAATTCAGGGAGATGGTCAAGAAAAGGGGGACACTACTACTACTATTTTATTATTAAATATCCTAATCCAAAGTTGCTACCCTAGCTGTGTTGAGTTAGTTGAGCCGCAGATCTATGCGGCATTCAGTGACTGTTGCCTCATAGTAAATATCTGCGACTGTTGTCGTCTTTGGGGCCGATGCTCTCATTCCTGAGGCAGAGCAATGCAAACCTAAGCAGAATGAAAGGCAGTCGACATCTCAACCAGGCTACTTCTATTCAGATAACACCTCCGCAAGTCTGGCATAGAAACATCTTGCACTTGATCCCATCCCGTCAGAGGTTGTGAACACCAGAGAAGTGAAGTTGCCCTGATCATCATTCAGAATTCTCTCCCCATATGCCCTATTCATGTCACTCTCGTTCCTCCTGTGTGCAGCCTTGAGAGCTGGGTTACGGTGACATGCGTCCATGCGATCGAAAGTCCTTCTGTCAAAGAAGGCTCGCTGTCCCCTTGTCTAGAATCCTTGAGTACTGACGTCCACACGGGCTTCGTCGGATGTGTTTGAAGTCCTGTGATGGAAATTCTCACCGTCCAATGGAAGGAGGGTCAGTTCTATCCTGACATCATGACAGATTTCCATCAACATATTTGCTGCGAGATCCCTTACTTCGTCGTGCCTCATGCATACGAAGCCCCCTTTCTTGCACACCATGGCGTGGTCGACGTCATAGGAAGAGCCACACACGCATTGGGAGGGCAAACCTTCTACTGGCCTAATGTACCTTCGAGCAATGGCATCTGTGATTTCTTGTTTATTAAGACTGACACCTTTTGCCCTTATCGGTAACGTTGTTAGCCAGTTCGAGGCACCCACCTCCCTGCGCTATAGCTACTTTTTTTTTCAAGTTCTCTGGCACTTGCAGCATCAGTTGCTGCAGTTTATCACCTTGGGTGTTCTGTCATTCTGCCGTAATGGACCGTCGAATCTCGTTTAATTCGCTGGTATCCACCTCACTTGTTGCATTCTGAGCTATTATGTGCTCAGAGCTTGACTGAGATCTGATGTTCGGTGGCAGCAAGCTCCTCCAGATTGGTCAATCCCATTCCTCTCAGTCTCGGTGGTAGTGCAAGGATTGGCCTTTCTGCTGGGGTTAAGTGAAGGTGTTTCACTAATTTGGGAATAAAATTGATGCTGATGGCTTCTTCCAGAGGGGGTAGGAGGGGTCCGATATCAGGGATAGTGTGCATCAGGTAATTCCAGTGATGCTTGACTCCATGGGTGAATGCCACAAAAGCAGCATGTGACTCTGTTTTAACAATATCAGACAGAGCTAGGATTTCTTTCGCCAAATAATTTACTTTTCCCATTATTGTGTGTTTCTCGTAAGGCTTTCGTTAATCGAAGTTTTGTTCATTAATGGAATTAATGGGACCGTTCGTTAATCGAGGGACCACTGTACTTTAAATATGACGTGGGGTCTGGGGGAGCTAGGAAATTAGGTAATTTTCTTTGGTTGGTTAGGTTAAGTTCCATTAGATTCTAGTAAATGTCATCTCTTTTAAAATATTAGGTTAATATTCATTTAATGACTGCAGGAAGATTTTCTTGTTTGGTTAATCTAGGATTATTAAAAACAAAATAAAATATGAATAAAGTATATGTCATTGTTTGGGTTTGGTTAAGTTAGGTTTCAACAGTGATTTGGAAGTCAAAATTGTTCTGAGAATACTGTACCTGTAGTTTTTTTTTTGTGTATTTAGGTGTGTTTTGTTTTTTTTCAAATCTGACCTTCATTTCTTGTGCATGAGTGAATTTTTGAAAAAAAAAAAAAATTAATGTTTTACAAAATTTACTCATTTGCCCCCAAAAATGAAAGTCAGTTTTGAGTAAAACACACCTAAATATATGTGTGGTCTGGGGTGTGTGAGTTTGTTGGCCAAGCTGGAGAGGGTCAAGGAAGAATTAGAGAGGGCCACGTTGGAGAACCTGAAATTAAAGGAAGAGATGGCGAGGATGAAGGATGAGGCGAGACAAGGAAAGCCCGTGTCTGACGATAACTCAGACGAGTGGAAGGTTGAGGAGAGGGAAGACTAAACTGGTGATGAAAAAACACACCAAGGATACGTCAACAACAACATCAACAGCTAAGTGTACCAACTCGTTCAGTCCCTTGATAGACGAATTGGATGTTTGTATAGTGATAGACGAATTAGACGTTAGTACAGTCAGGGACAGAGCTGACAAGGAAGGTATAAAAACTTTAATTGTTGGTGACTCACAGGTAAGGTACTTGGACAGGGCTTTTTGTGGTAAAAACAAAAATAGGATGAGGGTGTGTTTGCCAGGAGCTGGGGTGGGGGATATAATTGACAGGATGGACAATATTTTGTCTGGTAATGGGAACAAACCCATTATCTGCCTCAGTGCAGGAGGCAATGATATTGGCCGGTGTAGGAGCGAGGAACTTCTTGATAAGTTCAAGGCAGCTATAGATCGTATTAGGACTAGGGGAGGGATCCCTATCATATGCGGTGTCCTGCCTAGAAGGAGAGTAGGCAGTGAATGGTTGTCAAGGGCGGATGGTTTCAATGGCCGTCTTGACAGATATTGCAAGTCAATATCAGTCCCATTCATTGACAACTGGGACAACTTCTATGGCAGAAGGGACCATTATGCTAGGGATGGGGTGCACCTGTCTAGGGATGGGGTGGCAACCCTGGCTGGGTCTCTCGAGAGGGCAGTTCAAAGGATATCGAAGCCTTTAAACTGCTAGGGAAACATATGGGCACGGGGGTGGAGGAGACTGCAGTGGGAGCGGGTAAACAAAGTGAAAGATTATAGGGAAATAGTGTTAGGAATGATGACAAAACTAAATTAGACGGAGTTAAAACCCAAAAGCGGTAAAGAGAGGACTCAGAACACGACTAACTTAAATGTCTACTATGTGAACCGTAGTAGTATGAGAAACAAAATGGATGATATTAGGGCCTTGGTATGTACCGAAAAAATCGATATAATAGCATTCACTGAAACATGGATCAACCTAGACTCACGTGAGTTACCGGTCGAATACCAAATTGCGGGTTACAAATTGTTCCATACTGATAGGCAGACCAGGAAAGGAGGCGGAGTAGCAATCAATGTCAGGGGTAATCTGAAGTGTGAAATAAATAAGGAAATAAAAACTGAGCAGAATACAGAAACAATTTGGATAGAATTAATCGACGGCAGGGAATAATTTAATCATAGGAGTAATATATAGACCTCCCAATCTTGAAAGAGTTAATGCGCGACTTATCTGGGATGAAATGCGCAGGGCTTCCATACACAACAAAGTCTGTATAGTAGGCGATTTTAACCTTGGCCAAATAGATTGGACTGACCTTACAGGTAACTCAGTATCAGAGGATTTCCTCAAAACGATCCAGGACTGTTTCCTAAGTCAACATATAACCGAACCCACCCGGGGTAATAATATACTCGATTTAGTTCTGTCGAACAGAGAAAACCTCATTAGCAATGTCGTGGTAGGGAACGAACTTGCAAACAGTGATCACAAAGATATTAGATTCCAGTTAGATTTTCAGGTCAGACGTAAGGAAAATTCCATTAAAGTCCCAGATTTCAGAAGAGCAAACTTTGATAGTTTAAAGAGGCAGCTGAGAGAGGGGAAGTTGCGCTTGGGCGTGAACCTGACAGATGACACCGACCTGATAACGAGATCTGAGATTGTTGAGTTCCATGACAATTTAAATAATGAGTTACTTAATGCACAAAGGCAGAACATACCATACAAAAAACTCAGATCAGACAACAATGACCCTAAATGGATAAATAATTATTTAAAGAACATTATTGGCCAAAGGAAGGCTATAGGTAGAAGGATAAACCGTGGCGAAATTTACCTCCGGGAGTATTATAAGGTATTGGCCGGTAGGGTTAAGACCGAGATAAGAAAAGCAAAGAGGAATAATGAACTGAAGATAGCAAGGGAGGCGAAGACAAACCCCAAAGGATTCTACCAAATGTATCAAACTAAAACACGAGATAAGATTGGACCAATACGTTCAGATACCGGCGAGCTAACTGATAACGACGGAGAAATGAGCAATAATCTGAATAAATATTTTTCAACAGTTTTCACCACCGAAAATTTAAACATGATACCCGAGGCACCGACTCTATTCAGAGATAGTGAAGAAAACAAATTAAGCGAGATAGTAGTGACTAGTAACGATGTTAATAAGCAAATAGACAAACTGAAGCCTAATAAGTCACCTGGTCCCGATGAGATATTTGCCAGAGTATTAAAGGAATGTAAGGAAGAGCTTAGTATGCCCTTAGCAAAGTTGTTTAACATGTCATTAAAAACAGGTGTAGTACCAGAATCCTGGAGGATAGCGAATGTAATACCGATTTTCAAGAAGGGGGATAGATCACTATCCTCTAACTACCGCCCAATCAGTCTAACATCAATAGTAGGCAAATTACTAGAATCAATCATTTCAAACTCTATTAGAAACCACCTGGAGAAGCACAAGTTGATCAATGATTCCCAACATGGCTTCACAAGCGGGCATTCATGTCTAACTAATCTATTAACATTCTTTTCATCAGTTTTCGAATCGGTGGACGAGGGGCACAATTATGATGTGGTATACCTCGACTTTAGCAAAGCCTTCGACAGAGTCCCCCACGAAAGACTAATTAGAAAGGTA